ATAGGAACTGCTCAATAGTAGGGATGAGAGCAAGGGAAAGCCTCACATCGTCGTTCTCATCCCTACTCCCATTCGCCCAGATTCACTGATGCTAGTGCCCAGATCTTCATATTTTTTTAGACCTCACTGTTCAGTGTTAGCTGTTACAATAGATTTCATGCGTAGTAAAGGAAGTGGATAAGGACGTAATGTGATGTGAAACCATTTTAGGAATGTGTTAGCATCAGTTTTGATCGTGAAATCTGCGATAACTTCTCCGTTTGACCAGCTAACACTATCCCATTGACCAATGACGGCATTGCGTCTACCTCAGCGTTGCACTGCAACACTGCACATACTGGTGCGATAAATGGCGACCTTCAACTCAGTTTCACAATGCTCACCACACCTTGGGAAATAATTCATGGTTATGCTATCATTACTCCTTGTGATGTGCCTGCTATGGCTCCTGAAACCCACATAACAGAAGATCAAATCCGCCGCCTTCAACGTGCGGGTTTTTGGTAATACAAAATCAAAAAACAGTGATGCGATGAAACTCCTTGCTAAGGTACGTGTCCTCACCACATGGCTTCGTTAGGTGTCTGTAGATTTTCAAATAAATAGTTTGAGCAGCTGACTAATGATTAAAATATTGTGAAGCTTCTTGGTCAAAATCTATCAACCTAAATAAACTTTCAGCAGACAAGTTGCCATGGCGTTTTGAATTATACTAAATTTTTCTCCTTCTTAATAATAGGCTTTAGGGTAGACAGAATATGTGGATTATAGGGCTTTAAATGATGAGGATGAAAGTGATTGGGTGACTTGAGTCATGCTGAACACAATTGATAACTATGCTGTGAAAGCTAACATCAGTGTTTGAAATATTTGAGCCATACAGTACAGAGATTTTCGTTGCGTTGATTATTGAGTGAGACGCCTCACCGATCAGTCATACCCTGAATTCAACAATACTCTACTTCAAAAAAAATTAAAGTTTCAAACAAACTATAGCTACTGCAATCGGTCATTTGGTGACTGACTTGGAATCCGGCCACAAATGCAGATACGCCATTAGAGATATACGACTGCAGAGTTGTTTATAACTGCGTAATTCACAATACGATTCCTGCCCCTCTTCAGTAAACATATCAAGGGCATCTCTTCAGTCACACCGCTTATGCTGCAACACCGCTATCACTATGTACTTTGGCGAGGCTACTTCGTGACTGGGCTCCGACGTAGTGCAGACACAAGAGAACATGCTTAATGAACAAGTCTTAGCGTAGTTCACGTAATGGCACCATTGTCATTCACCAATGCCATCACCGCTATCAGCACCACCATCACCTTTGCTGCGATTGCACGTGAGCATGCAACTCACGAGGATAAAATTGCCATAATCTGGAGCATGAAGAACAAAGCGAGGGAGGTCAAGAAAACAGTAAATCTCCATTAAAAATTCAAATAGAAACGCAACTATTCGCTCTGATCGGATCTTTACCTTAAAGACTACTGTGCATGGTATTATGCTCACCCGCATACAGACCGATTTCTTGCAGGTATCACAGAACGTAGTGAGACGCTGCCTCCAATGCAAGCTAATTATGCATTATTCTCACCTCTCACAAATGTGGGCCACCCTCTCCGTAGCAAAAATATCCGCTCAAATAATTATGCCTGCGGATCATTCATGCTGCACTTTTGCACTCATATGGAGAGTAACAACTCTCTAAGTGCTTAAGAAAGCACACGTTAAGCTAAAACATAATTGCCAAAGAACAGGACCGGTAATATTTTGGCAAAATTGATATAAACGGATCACCTAGCTACCGAGATGGTGGCCCACATTTGTAAGTAATGAAGACTATGTATAATTAACTTGCATTTAAGGCCCTGTCTTGTTGCGTTCTGTGATACCAGGAAGATATCGGTCTGTCAACAAGTGAGCAAGATACCCTGCCGGGTAGTCTTTTAAGCGGAGATCCAATCACAGCGAGGATTGCTACATTCCCATTCAAATTTTAATAGCAATTTGCCTTTGAGATAATTTAACATTAAGGTGTGTGAAGAACGACATAGTAATCGGACTAGTGATAAGGTCTTGCAACTTAGCCATAACAGCCGTTTGTTTTCTTGTCCTCCTTCTCTTTGTTCGTCATGCGCTAGATTATGGCAATTTTATCCTCGTGAGTTGCAGCCATAC